GGTAGGGGTCCACTGTATATGTGATAGAAAATTAGTAATAAACAACATTTTTTATTGTTGGTTTTGTAAATATGTTTTGTAAACAATATAATGACTGTACGGTTATTGTGTAGCATACAACTAGTGAATGTACATTCAATATACCTTATATTGGTCTCACAGGCTATAAAATTACTTGAATGAAGAAAGAAAGGAAGGAAGAAGTAAGGAAGGAAGGAGGGAAGATAGGTAGGTAGGAAGAGATGAGAGGAAGGAAGGAAGGTAGGTTTGTGGGGAGGAAGGAATATGTTGTGGAAGGCAATGAGGGTTAGTGAGTGTTGGTATGATGCATCATTGTGACATAAGACACACCAATGACTCAGCATATTTACAAGTCCACCCCCTACACAATTACAAGCTTTCAGAACCTCTTGTAGTTATAGGAACCTGTCCAGTGACTCTATATGTGTATATATATGATAGAAAATTAGCAATAAACAACATTTTTTATTGTTGGTTTGTGTAAACATGTTTTGTGAAGAATATAATAACAGCAAAGTTTGTGCTGTTATTGTGTAGTATACAATGAGTGAATATATACCAAATAGTCTTTATATTGGTCTCAGAGGCCATAAAAGTTACTTGAAAAAATAAAATATTAAAAAATAAAAGAAAAAAGTAGAAAAATAAAGTAAACTATTACCGGGTGACCGGCAGTCAGCGATGTTGCCATATGTGGTTCAATTTCTGTCAACTTCACGCCTCCATATCTCCATAAGTATTGATCCCCCCAAATTTTTTTTGCCTCTAATACTCACAAAAAAAAAAGAAAAACTATCATTTCATAGGAAAAAAATAATTTTGTTTTTTGAATATTTTTTGACCCTGAGAACAAGTCTGGGAGAGGGCCTGTTGACCCTGAAAGGGTTAATATAATTATGTTATTCTTATTGTGAGAGTTACAGAACCTAGTTACAGATATTTAATGTCTCTTTTTTATTTATTTATTTATTTATTTATTTATTTATTTAATAATTTGAACATGATACAGAGAAATACAAAGGAATACAGTTATTAAAGTGCAACATGCCAAAGCCCCTTGTATGCAGAGCATTATGGGCAGGCTTAAAATTAACTTAAGATTAACTAAGCAATGATATATTCAGTGGTAAAAACATTATTGTGAACAGATAACAATTTAGCACAAATGAGTATTACAAAGACAGGTCATATGGTCATTTACTGTGTTGCTGTGCATTCAATAGAATGGAATATTCTGCTAGGTAATGTAATTAAAAAATTACAAAGTTTGATTGGGTAACAGGTTAGACATTTATGAGATACAATAATGAGAAACATTTACGAGATACAATTTATGAGATACAATTATTCAGTATTTATTTAGTTGTGGGTGAGTAAGTGATTTTTGAGAAGAGACTTGAATTTACAAACAGATAGTGTTTCTTTTATATTCACAGGTAATGAATTCCAGATTTTAGGGCCTTTTATGTGCATTGAGTTTTTGCATAGCGTGAGATGGACACGAGGAACAACAAAGAGTGATCTGTGCCTTGTGTTATGGTCATGTGTTCTGTTGAGATTGGTAAGGAGACGTTTGAGGGGAGGGTTTATATCAGAGTTAAGTGTTCTAAGTATGTAGTAGGTGCAGTAATAAGTATGGATGTTTTGTATGGTGAGTAGGTTTAGAGTTTTGAATATTGGTGGAGTGTGCTGCCTGTAGTGCGAATTTGTTATCATTCTGACTGCAGCCTATTGTTGGGTAATTAATGGTCTGAGATGGTTTATTGTTGTTGAGCCCCATGCACAAATTCCATAGGTGAGATAGGGGTAAATAAGTGAGTGATATAGGGCCAGGAGGGCTGACTGTGGAACATAGTACCGTATCTTCGATAGTATGCCTACTGTCTTGGAAATTTTTTTGGAAATTTGTTGTATATGTGTTTGAAATTTGAGTCTATTATCAAGGTGGATTCCTAAGAATTTTCCCTCTGTGAGTTTTGTGATAGGTGATCCATTTATCATTATGTTAAGAGGGACATCTGTAGCTCTGTTACCAAACTGAATGAAGTAGGTTTTGTCAATGTTTAGAGTAAGTTTGTTAGTACTCATCCAGGTAGATATTTTCTGTAATTCGGTTTTTACAGTATTGGCTAGCATGACTGGGTTCGGGTGAGAGAAGACATATGTAGTGTCATTTGCAAATAGTGTGGGTTTGAGTAGTTGCAATGCATTTGGTAGGTCATTTATGTATATAAGAAAGAGAAGAGGGCCTAGGACACTTCCCTGTAGGACACCAACTGTAATTGGCTGTGCGGAAGAGTTTGCCCCGTTTGTATACACATATTGGCTTCTGTTGCTGAGGTAAGACTTTAGGTAGTTGAGGGAGTGCCCTCTTATACCATAGTGCAACAATTTTATATGGAGCAAGTCATGTCAACTGTATCAAAAGCTTAACGTAAGTCAGTGAAGATCCCAATGGGACTTCTTTTTTCTCTATTGCAGTGTAAATGTGTTCTAGCATGTGTATAGTAGCATCATTAGTATTTTTATTAGGCCTGAAGCCAAATTGACAGGGGTTGAGTGTGTTGTGGGAGATGAGGTAGGAATAGATTCGGTTATGAATTAATTTTTCGAAGATTTTAGAGAGAGGGTGTAAGTTGGATAATGACCTATAGTTATTCAAGTCCGTTTGGTCTCCTCCTTTATGGATTGGGGTGACCCTTGCTATTTTGAGAACTGTAGGGAAGGTAGAGGATTTTATGGATTTGTTAAAGAGTGTTGCAATGATTGGTGATAGTACTTGTGATGCTTTTTTGTATATAAAGGGTGGTAAGGTATTTAAATTCTGTCTTGGCTTATTTTAGTGTGTTGGATAATAAGGGAGGACTTCAGTAGGGTTAGTCGGAGCTAGGAATGTGTGTTGAGTAGATTGCCTAGTGAGGTAGTCATTGGTGGGGTAGTCTGGAGCCCAAGGATTTTTTGGCCAGGTTTTTTTCCTATAGTGGAGAGAAAATTATAGAGCTCTGTATGCTGTTCAGTGGTGAGGAGGTGGGGATTCTTTTTGTTCCTAGAATTCTGATTAGGGTTTTCCAAGTCTTTTTTATATCCCCTTGTAGTTGGTATCTGTTCTTGTAATACAATTTTCTTTAGCCCTTCTTATCAGGCTGGTTAGGTTGATGAGTAACGTTTTGTTTGGTCTCTGGTTATGTGACCCATTCGTACAGTTTTCGTTCATAGGTGCTTTGTATTTATGGATTTGAGGATGCTGGTGTTGCCTAGGGGACTGTTCAGTCTCTTAGCTGTCAGCTGTTAGTTTTGGGGGGCATTGCTTGTTTATAGAGGTATTGGGTCTTTTTGATAAAATTTATTAATACATTCATCAATATCTGTATAGATTCTAGCCTCAGTTAGCAGTCAATGTTTGTTACTGCTGCTGTGAAGTTATTAATGGCTGCCTCATTGTGAAGTCCTGGAAAGTGACTTTTGTAGTGTCTTGGGTAATTTGCAAGATATGTTTATGGGGAAGGTAGGGTAGTGATCTTGTGGTATTTTCTGTGATTATGCCTGATTTTAAAAGGGATATGGTGCTTGGTCCAGATGTGATTAGTAGGAAAACACTAGCTTTGTAAGTCTTGTAGGTTTTGTTATGCTTCGGTAGCAACATGCAGTTTACTCTAGTGTTTGTATTCAGTAATGTTGGGTCTTGGTTTGTAGGAGATTTATATGAAGTCACCTGAGAGTAGTAAGTGATCTTTGGTCATGCATGCCTCGTTATTCATCACCTTCCTAGGTTTTCACTAAAATGGCTAAAGTTTGACTGTGGTATTCGTAGATGTTATTCCACTGTGAGAGGTTTTTTGTAGGTATTTGGATTTGATATTGAGCTATTATATATTCTCCATGTTTATCTTGTGCAAGTATTAGTGATTACATTCTCGCTGGTCTGAGTAGTATACAAGCTGTGCAAACCCCTTTGTTGATCTGGCTTTTCAGTTGGTGTATGGCTGTGTAACAGGAATGGCAATAGATCTGTAGTATCAGGCTTATCCAGGTTTTGGTGAGAGTAATGATGGATATACTGGCATGCAGGGAATTTAGTATGCTATGAGGTCATGGTAATGTTTACTTAAAGCTCTGATACTGTATTAAAGACGTTATGTTTTTGTTGGCTTGAGAAGTGCCTTTGAGTGTTCTGCTGTTAGTAATTACGTTACTGTTTGATTCATTTAAGACATTCAATAGAGGTTGGTATCCAGGATCATGCTTGCTATCACCCGATTTATAGTGAATCGATAGTTAGAATTAAGTATATAAGACAAAGTAATATTCTAAAGCAATAAAATAGCTTCTGAATTTTTTTTTTAACAAAATGTAAAAATTGAGCTTAGGTGTTCTTTAAAGCTAAATAAAGGAGGTCCATTATAAAAGGGACTCAAAAAAATAATTGTGGGGTCAAATAAAGTGGTAAACAAATAAATGGTCTAGGGAAAATAATGGCACAAATAGTGATGAACTTATTTACTACGCAGATAGCTGTAATCGGAGAGAAATACAAAAATATTTACAGTAGTACCTTGGGATACAAACTTAATTCGTTCCAGAAGGCTGTTCGAATGGCGATACTGAATGAATTTGTTTATTCCCATTTGGAATAATGTAAATTAGATTATCCGTTCAGCCCGCAAAAATTACACTTAGAAAAAGCACTACATAATTGTCGTGTTTCTGCTTTTGAGTTTTTCGTATCCTGAGGTACCACTGTATTTATTGCCAAAAGGTCATAAAACAACCATTTATTTGCTACAGCCTTTGCTAGTCAGTAACTACTGATGCACCTGGATCTTTCTATGGTGCATTCTTGGAATTCGCCATGCTTAAAAAGGAAGATTTTGTGCACTAGTAAATGACTGAGAAGTAGTAAATTAATGTTTCTACTGATAGGTTTTTGTACTTATCTTCCTTCTTCTCCTGCACCTTGTTGCTACCATGGGTTGCTGTAGACTCCAGATCACCTGGTTCAAGTGGACACTGTACTAGCCGAGCAGGCATGGTCTTCAAACCAGATTCACCATCTCTCTAATGGCCAGGTAGTAGTACTACAAATACAGAACCTTTTCCAGTAAGAGAAGAGGACACTATTTGATGTTACATGATGGTAATACAAATTAACAAAACACCACTATTATAGTATGAAGTTTGAGTAGATATGTTCCACAGAGGAGAGATGAGAGTAGTGAGAGGAGAGGAATGAAAGGTGAGTGCGAGAGAGTGAGAGCGTGAGAGTGGGTGAGAGATGAGAGAGAGAGAGACGGAGAGAGAGGAGAGAGATGAGAGGAGTAGAGAGAGAGGTTGAGAGAGTGAGAGAGAGCAGGAGAGAGAGAGAGAGGAGTGAGAGTGACGAGAGAGAGACGACGAGAGAGAGAGAGGGAGAGAGAGAGAGTGAGAGAGAAGGAGAGAGAGAGGAGAGAGAGAGGAGAGAGTGAGAGAGAGATGTGAGAGTGAGAGAGAGAGAGAGAGAGAGAGAGTGAGAGAGTGAGAGAGTGAGAGAGCGAGAGAGAGAGTGAGAGAGTGAGAGAGTGAGAGACGTGAGAGAGAGAGAGAGCGAGAGTGAGAGAAGCGAGAGTGAGAGAGAGTGTAGAGAGAGATGAGAGAGTGAGTGAGAGAGAGAGTTTGAGAGAGTGAGAGATGAGAGAGAAGAGAGTTGAGAGAGAGAGAGAGAGGAGGAGAGAGTGAGAGAGGAGAGAGAGTGAGCGATGAGAGTGAGAGTGAGAGAGAGTGTGGGAGAGAGAGAGAGAAGAGAGAGAGAGAGTGAGAGATGAGAGAGTGAGAGAGAGTGTGACGAGAGAGTGAGAGTGAGAGGAGAGAGAGGAGTGAGAGAGAGTGAGAGTGAGAGAGAGAGAGAGAGAGAGAGAGAGAAAGTGAGAGAGAGAGAGAGAGGAGAAAGTGAGGAGAGAGAGAGAGAGAGAAAGTGAGAGAGAGAGAGAGAGAGAGAAAGTGAGAGAGAGAGAGAGAGAGGAGAGAAGGACGGAGAAATTGTGATGAGAGAGAGAGGAGAGAGAGAAAGTGTGCGAGAGACGAGAGAGAGAGAGAAAGTGAGAGAGAGAGAGAGAGAAGAAAGTGAGAGAGAGAGAGAGAGAGCAGAGAGAGAGAGCCGAGAGTGAGAGAGAGAGAGAGAGAGAGAGAGAAAGTGATGAGAGCGGAGTGAGAGAGAGAGGTGAGAGAGAGAGAGAGAAAGTGACGAGACGCGAGTGTGAGAGAGAGAGATAGATGAGATAGAGAAGAGAGAGAAAGAAAGTGAGAGAGAGAACGTGATGAGCGGAGAGAGAGAGAGCTTGAGGAGAGAGAGAGAGAGAGAGAGAGACTGAGAGAGAGAGAGAGATAGATTGATAGATGATGTGCGAGCCAGCCAGCCAGAGCCCAAGTCTAGCATGCTGATAACAATCTTTCATATTTTAATATTTGCCTTTGGCTGTGTGTTTTTAAGATAAGATGTGTGTTGTTAATTCCAGGGATACCCAGCAAGACCTGGGCAAGGTTTATAGGACAAGGTTTACCTGATAACTGAGTAAACACAATTACATCTTCCAATTTTTGACATTTAGAATGTTTTTTAGATTTATTTTATTTTTTTATTAACACATTGGCCGTTTCCCACCAAGGCAGGGTGGCCTGAGAAAGAAAAACTTTCATCATCATCATCATCATCATCATTCACTCCATCACTGTCTTGCCAGAGGCATGCTTACACTACAGTTATAAAACTGCAACATTAACACCCCTCCTTCAGAGTGCAGGCACTGTACTTCCCTTCCCCAGGACTCAAGTTTGGCCTGCCGGTTTCCCTGAACCCCTTCATAAATGTTACTGTGCTCACATTCCAACAGCACGTCAAGTATTAAAAACCATTTGTCTCCATTTGCTCCTATCTAACACCCTCATGCATGCTTACTGGAATTCCAAGCCCCTCGCACACAAAATCTCCTTTAATCCCTCCCTCCAGCCTTTCCTAGGCCATCCCTACCCCGCCTTCCCTCCACTATAGATTTGTGCACTTTCAAAGTCATTCTGTTTTGTTCAATCCTCTCTACATGTCCAAACCACCTCATTAACCCTTCCTCAGCCCTCTGGATAATAGTTTTTGTAATCCTGCATCTCCTAATCTCCAAACTATGGATTCTCTGCATTATATTCACACAATACATTGCCCTCAGACATGATATCTCCACTGCCTCCAGCCTTCTCCTTGTTGCAACATTCACCACCCTTCTTCACCCCACCCCCCCCCCCCCCCCCCCCCCCCCCCCCCCCCCCCCCCCCCCCCCCCCCCCCCCCCCCCCCCCCCCCCCCCCCCCCCCCCCCCTCATATATAAGAGCGTTGGTATAACTATACTCTCATACATTCCCTTCTTTGCTTTCATAGATAAAGTTCTTTGACTCCACAGACTCCTCAGTGCACCACTCACCTTTGTCCCTCATCAGTTCTATGATTCACTTCATTTTTCATAGGCCTATCTACTGACACCTCCACTCCCAAATATCTGAATACATTCACCTCCTCCATACGCTCTCCCTCCAATCTGATATACAATCTTTTGTTACCTAATTTTTTGTTTTGTTATCTTCATCATCTTAACCTTTCTTATATTTTCTTTTAACTTCCTTCTTTTAAATACCCTACCAAACTCATCCACCAACCTCTACAACTTCTCCTCAGAATCTCTATAAAGCACAGTGTTATCAGCAAAGAGCAACTGTAACAACTGCCACTTTGTGTTAGATTCTTTATCTTTTAACTCCACACCTCTTGCCAACACCTGAACATTCGCAAGTCTTACAACTCCATCTATAAATCACACACACACAGTGGACCCCCGCATAGCGATTTTAATCCGTGCAAGAGGGCTCATTGTTATGCGAAATGATCGGTATGCGAATGAATTTTCCCCATAAGAAATAATGGAAATCAAATTAATCCGTGCAAGACACCCAAAAGTATGAAAAAAAAAAAAATTTACCACATGAAATGTTAATTTTAATACACACAAACTGAAAAAGGCATGCACAATTACATGACACTTACTTTTATTGAAGATCTGGTGATGATTGATGGGATGGGAGGAGGGGAGAGAGAGTGTTAGTGTTTAGAAGGGGAATCCCCTTCTATTAAGATTTGAGGTGTCGAGTCCTTTTCTGGGGTTACTTCCCTTGTTCTTTTAATGCCACTAGGACCAGCTTCAGAGTCACTGGACTTCTTTCGCACAACATATCTGTCCATAGTGGCCTGTACCTCTCGTTCCTTTATGACTTCCCTAAAGTGTTTCACAACATTGTCAGTGTACAGGTTGCCAACACGGCTTGCAATAGCTGTGTGAGGGTGATTTTCCTCCATGAAGGTTTGCACTTCAAGCCACTTTGCACAGATTTCCTTAATCTTTGTAGTAGGCAACTTCTTCAATTTCTCTCTCCCCTCCTCTGAACCAGTTTCTCAGGTCTGGCTCTTGCTGTTGAAGTTGATCTATCAGCTCATCAGTGGTTAGTTCTTCATTGTCCTCCTCCACCAACTCTTCCACATCCTCCCCACTAACCTCCAACCCCAAGGACTTTCCCAATGCCACAATGGATTCCTCAACTGGCATAATCCTCTCAGGGTTAGCCTCAAACCCTTCAAAATCCCTTTTGTCTACACATTCTGGCCGCAGTTTCTTCCAAGCAGAGTTCAAGGTCTTCTTAGTCACTCCCTCCCAAGCCTTACCTATAAGGTTTACACAATTGAGGATATTAAAGTGCTCTCTCCAAAACTCTCTTAGAGTCAGTTGAGTTTCTGAGGTCACTACAAAGCACCTTTCAAACAGAGCTTTTGTGTACAGTTTTTTGAAGTTTGCAATAACCTGCTGGTCCATGGGCTGCAGGAGAGGAGTGGTATTAGGAGGCAAAAACTTCACCTTAATGAATTTCATGTCCCCATAAAGTCGCTCTGCCACGTCTGTAGGATGACCAGGGGCATTGTCTAACACCAGGAGGCACTTAAGTTCTAATTTCTTTTCAGTTAGGTAATCATTCACATTGGGGGCAAATGCATGGTGTAACCAGTCATAGAAAAAGTCCCTAGTGACCCATGCCTTACTGTTTGCCCTCCACAGCACACAAAAATTCTCCTTGAGGACATTCTTTTGCCTGAACGCTCTGGGAGTTTCAGAGTGATACACTAATAAAGGATTCACTTTGCAATCACCAGTAGCATTGGAACACATCAACAAAGTAAGCCTGTCTTTCATAGGCTTATGTCCTGGGAGTGCCTTTTCCTCCTGAGTAATGTAGGTCCTGCTTGGCATTTTCTTCCAAAACAGGCCTGTTTCATCACAATTAAACACTTGTTCAGGTTTCAGTCCTTCACTGTCTATGTACTTCTTGAATTCCTGCACATATTTTTCAGCTGCTTTGTGGTCCGAACTGGCAGCCTCACCATGCCTTATCACACTATGTATGCCACTACGATTCTTAAATCTCTCAAACCAACCTTTGCTGGCCTTAAATTCACTCACATCAGCACTAGTTGCAGCATTTTTTTAATTAAATCCTCATGCAACTTCCTAGCCTTTTCGCTTATGATCGCTTGAGAGACGCTATCTCCTGCTAGCTGTTTTTCATTTATCCACACCAATAAGAGTCTCTCAAACATCTTCCATCACTTGGATCTTAGTTTCGAAACCACAGTTTAAACTTTGCAAGCACAGTTCCTTGATTGCCTTTCTGGTGCCCACTATAGTAGCGATGGTGATTGGGGTTTCTTGTACAAACCTGGCCAGGTCGGCGATACGCACTCCACTTTATACTTATCATGATCTCTTTCTTCATCTTATTGGAATTCTCACCCTTATTGCTGTAGGGTTGGCACTAGAAGCTTTCTTTGGGGGCCCATGTGTCACTGATTTTCCAGATAAAAGCACCGAAACACTGTAAATAATACGAAATGTTCCGATTATATGCTTGGATGATACCGCGGAGGCTGGTGGGGTAAACAATGGCACGGGCGGCAGATGTGAGGCTGGCTGAGGGCACTCATTGGATGCGTCTCGGACAAACAGCG